AGGGCCTTATCAGCAGGGCGCGTCATCCTCTCCTTCTTTATCGGCCCTAAGGCCTGCTGGCTCCCCTCCCGGGGGCTGCCCGCCAGCGGAAGTGGGGAGCAGAGGGGGCAGGCGCCTGGGCAGGGGACCTCAGAGAGGGCGAAGGGGTGGGAACCAGGGCTGAAGTCACGGGGAGAAAGGAGGCCCTGGAGTTCTCCGTTTGACCCCTGATCGCAGCCTTGGGGAACCCTGTTGCACCGTGAGCTCTGCCCCGCAGGCCTGGGGTTGCCCGGTCCTGATCAGGTCCTAGGACCCCCAGATGAGGGGCAGGAGGAGAAAAGGGACCTGAGCAGAAGGGCCACCGGTGCCAGCAGCCAAGCTCCAGGTCCCCGGGGCCTCCCCGTCAGCTCTGGCCAGTGTCCTTGGGCAGGTTGGAGATGTCCCCGAGCCCCCTCCCAGTCGGGGAGGTGCCCACTGGATGGTGCCGGTCATGGCGCCGAAAGCGAGCCTCCTCCCTGCCAGGCCTGGGCAGGCTGGTGTCCGCTGACCCCAGGGCCCCGGGGCATGTGGAGCTTGGTCTGAGCCCCGGGGGCTTGACGGGAGTGGGGGTGCGGGTGGGGGAAGGAGAGGCAGGAGCCTCAGTCCAGCTGCTCCTGGGAGGCGGAGAGAAAGGGCCGCTGGGCTCGCAGGCCACCCAGGACAGGGGCGGAGACCTGTGGTGAGCACCTCTCCCTTACGCCCCGCAGCCCTGCCGGGTGCCCCTTCGGCTGGGCGGGCAGAGTTCTTGACTGCACCCCGCTTCCCCGAAGGTCTCTCTGTGGAAGGGCGGGGCCCTCGAGCCTGGGGCTGTGTTTCCTCCGGCCATGAGGGGCCATCAGGATCAGGCGCTGTGGCCGTGTCTCCTCCAGACAGAAGGGGCTCCAGGACCCCGGCCCCCTCCACCCCCTTCCTTCCCATCCCCCACCCCCGCTGCTATTTCGAGTTCCCCTTGGCTATTTATAGCCGTGTCCGCCTGTTGCGTCAGGCCAAGTCTGGCTTCGCCCGGCCCCGATGCCAGCAATGCCATCACCCGCCACCTGGCCCCCGGCATCACCTGCTCTGCTGGGCTCGCGGGCCCAGGTGCGCGTGTGCTGGCGGGAGCAGGCCCCCGCGGGGCTGGGCACGTGCGCTGGGGGCGGGGGGGGGGTGCCAGCGCCCCGTCCGACTCCTGGCAGGGAAGGGGATGTGGGGAGCGTTTTCTTCCCCTCCCTGAACCCCCGCCGGGCCACCTGTGGAAAGGCGGAGTCGCACATTTGCGGTTTGAGTCTGTGAAGACGTCCCCTACCGGCTGCAGGGCAGCTTCCCCCTCCCCACCTGCCCCGCATCCCCAAATTCCCTCACGGAACCCCTCCCTGGCTTCAGGGAGCCCCTGTTCTCCCACTCCCCCTCTCCCTCTCCCAGGCTCTTCTGCTGAGGTTCCCCGGGAGGGGACATTGGACAGGAGTGGCCCAGGTACCTGCCCGGCGTTGGCCCCGGCCTCGCCCCACCCTGTGGCCTGTCGGGGGCACACTGGCCTTCCTCCCAGCCCGCCGGGGCTCACCCTGGGCTCTGGGAACTGGCCCCCCCCAGCCTAACTTTCTCCTGCTGATCAGACTCGCTCTGGTCCCCCTTCCCCGATCCCTTCCCCTTTGTGAAACCATGACCACACCATCTGCCTGGCCACGCCTTCAGAAAGGGCCCGTTGTCTGGAGACCCCATCCCAGGGCTGGGACCGGCACACGCCAGCCGCAGTCCTCAGCGGGCGGACGCGGAGCCCTGCCGGCGGCGGGGACATCTGCGCTTGCCCAGGTGCGCTGCTGGCCCGAGGAGCCCCGCCCACGGGGCCCACGCACACGCTGTCTGTCCGCGCCCAGCTCTCTGGACCCCTTTCTGGGAGACAGGGCACCGGCTGCCCAGTCCCGCCCCCCAGATCCTCAGAGACTCCGCTTCCCCTGGATGGCAGGCGGCCCGCCCTGCTCAGGAGGGACTGCTCTGCTGCAAGGCACACGGAAATCCCCGCCCCACCTGCCATTCTGAGCCACGAGCCACGCAGAGCACCCACTTCCTGTCCGACCTCCCCTTGGGCAGAGGCCGCCAGCATGGCCCCAGCGCCCTGCCCTTCCGCTCTCTGCGGCCTGCAATGCCCCCGCCTCTCCAAAGACCGCCGGGCCTGCCGGAGCTGCCCCCCGCCCCGGCCCCGGCCGGTCTGCGTGTCAGAAGTGCCTTGACGGATCCACCCACAGGAGCACGTGCTGCCTGAGTGTGAAGGGGCCTGAGTGGCCACAGGGGCCGGCCCTTCCGGGACGTGTCCTGGGACTGCTCAGCCAGGCAGGGCAGAGCCGGGGGCTGAGCCCACCCTCAACTCTCTGGGGACGCCGGAGAAGGGGGGCCCCGCCTTGGGCCTCGGAGAGGGTTGCGCTGGGTTTCTATGGTGGCGGAAACTCGGAGGCCGATGTCTGTGGTTTAGTCATTAAATGTTTGCTGGGTGCCTCTGGCCTGCGAGCACCCGTGTCTTTCCTGGGTCCAGTGGGAGAGGTCAGGCAAGCGCACGGCTGTAATGTGGGGCCGGCCGGCAAAGGGATAGACTGTGGCAGCATCTTACTCTTTACCCAGCTTCCCCTCCCTCCCTGCGCTCCTCCCAGGTACCCACCGTCCCTTCCTCTCCACCTGCCCACCCTCCCTCTTCCTGCCCACCCGCCCACCCGTCCCTCCATCCATCCATCCCCATCCACCGCCCATCCCCCATCTACACGCTCAGCTACCTACCCACCCATCCTCTCCTCTGCTCAGCCACTCATTCATATGCCCCCAGTCAGGACCCACCGCTTAATCAGCAGTCCACCTCACCACTGACCCACCCACCCATCTACGCACCCCCCTCCCCACCCACTCCCTAGCCACCCAGCCACTCACCTACCCACCCACTCACGTGCATGCCCACCCCCACACTCAGCCTCAGGCCCCCCCCACCGCCCCGCTTAGGGCTGGTGCTGGACGTTCGGCTCTGTGGGCGACCTGGGTGACCGACCTCTGCGGTGGCCCTGCTTTCCCCTACCCGCGCCTCGGTTCCTGCTCTTGCGTTTTCAATTAGCCGAGAAGGAGCAGCCCTGCGAAGCCGTGGGCTCCCCCGGCCCCCAGTAAAGGCAGAGCCCTGTCCACACTACGCCCACACCTCGCCCGCGGCCTGGGGCCCTGGGCGCACGCACCCTCTGGGACCTGACGGGCAAACGCGCCTCATTTTCCGAAGCTTCCCGGGGGGCCGGCGCTGAGGTGTGGCTCGTGGTCACTGTAAGAACCGCCGGCCCAGCCCTGGCTCTGGTCCGGAAACGTCTGCGGGAGGCCCGGGGGTGGGGGGGTTGCCTGAGGGTCGCCCGAGGGTCCTAACCAACAGCGTCACCACCGACAGGCTGAGACCCGCACAGCATGGCTGTTCCCACCGTCCTCCCGAGCCCACGGGGCCTGGAGCTGGGGAGACGAGGCGGCGGGAGGGGGCGTGCCCAGCGTTTAGGGGTCTGGCTCCAGCCTCGCCTCACTAGCTGCTCTGTCCAGCCCTCGGGCAAGCAGGCCCCAGGGCTCCGGGTCGGCTTGGTCGGTGGCCCCCCACCCTTATCTGGGGTCCCCCCGGGCCCCAGAGTCCGCGGCGTCAGCACCCCAGCGGGCACCCTGCGGCCTGTCCCGGCCTTGCCGCAGGTGCTCCCAAGCACCCGGGTGGGAGGCTGCGGCCATGCTGCGGGAGACAGCCAGCGGCTCTTCCCGTCCTCCTTTTATTGACTCCAAGGGGCTGCCAGAGTTATAAATAGATGTTCTGGAGCTAAAAATAGCTTTGCTGGAGCGGCCGGCCCCTGCTCCCGGCCTCTCTGGGAGCTCTTAAGGACGCAGGATTCGAGGACTCCGACTCCTCCTGCAGCCCCCGCCTGTGTGCGCTACCACGCACGTGCACTCCCAGACACATGCACGCGTGGGTCTGGCCGGCGTCACCAGGCCAGGCCCCTGCAAGGCCTCAGCCGTCTGGGCCACTGGGCCGTGGGGCGGAGGGCACGGACCTGTCTGGAGCTGCCTGGAGACAAGGGAGTGGAGTTCCTGGGAAATACAAGGGGGCAGGGGGTGCCTGGCCCACAGGGGTGCTCAGTGTCAGGAGCCGCGGCGTGGCAGGCCTGGGAGGGCCCCAGGGCAGCGCTGCCGCAAAGCCCGTCCTGGGGAGGCAGCGTCCCCACTGCAGGCCCAAGAGCAGGCACACCCACGCAGCCCGGGGAGAGGTTGGGGACCCTGCAGGCGGGCGGGGGCTGGCTCCAGGGAGAGGGGCCCACGGCGGGGGACGAGGCGGGGAGCCATCAGCGCCACGGAACGCGGGACGGCAACACGTCAGTAATGTAAAAAGCCGGTGCAGAGTCCCCAGCGGGCCAGGCCCCGCCTTGGAGGGGAAGGAAACGCCGCGGTGTGGTGCGGGCAGCGTGGGCCCACGCAGGGCCCCGGGAGGCCTGCAGGGCCACACCGGCTGCACCCAGTGGTTCCTGCCGGAGAGCGGGACAGGGGACTTGAAGGGCAAACCTGAGTTTTCACTGTGCAGGGTTCTGAGCTACTCACGACTCTGCTGGCGGCGGCAGTGAGAAGGGTCCCTTGCCCGAGCCCCGGGCTGAGGCCTGCGCTCCGCCCTCCGCCTCCGCAGATGCCCCTGGGCGGCGCCCCCACCCTGCCCTCCGCCCTCTGGGTTCAGGGCGTCTGGCCTCCCAGGCCCAATGCGCCAGCCCCCTGGCCTCAGGGGTGGGGGGCGCTTTCTGGAACCCCCGCCACCCTCCCACCCGCAGCCTAAAGAAAGAGGCAGCCAGAAGCGTGGAGAAAACATCCATCTCGGGATTTATTACAACACGTTTTTTCCAAATACAAAAGAAGGGGACCGAACAGGAGCAGAAAGTGTGGCCGCGCTGGACGAGGGGCCTGAGGCGGTCGGCGGGCAGCCCAGGCCGGGGCCCGGGGCCGGCGGGGGGCGGGGGGGCTGCCACCTCTCCTTGGTAGATAACAGGAGGGGGCGTGACCTACTCGGGGGCCACCCCAATGTCAGGGCTCGGGGCGGAGGGGAACGGGGGGGGGCTGAGGGAGGCTCAGAGAGGACGGGGTGGACATGGCCGGGGAGGCCCCGGCACAGAAGGGGACCTCCTCCTGCACTGCAGCTGCTCACTCTGGGGGGACCGGAGCCTCAGGAGTGGGAGCCCCGCACCCCCGGGACAGGCGCGGGCGCTGTGGCAACCCTGGGCAGAGGGCGGGTGGGGGCGGGCCGGCCCGGGGACCTGCCCTCAGGGAGCTGGGCCCAACCAGCGGCCCTGGCCACTGTCTCCCGGACAGCGCGGGGTGGGGTGCAGAGGGGGGACCGGTGCGTCCTCCACACCCGGGGTCAACCCCAAAACCCAACGCGAGAGACGAACAGGAGGCAAATTTACATAATCAATAATAATAATAATTAACCAATAATAATAAATACTTAAACTTCTAATCCGTAGATTGCAAATACAACAATGATAGCTTATTTCTTGGGGAGAGGGGTGGGGACAGAGAGAACAGGGACAGGACTTCTGCTTAAAGGTGGCATGACAGGGACACAGGGCTGCAGGTCTAAAGAACAAACAGAGACAGCGGGGGCGGGGCGGCCGGCGGGGGAGCAGGCCCCGCCCACCTTGCTGAGGACGCAGGCCTGCCGGGGGCCTCCCACCAAGCTGCTGGCCTCTTCCCAGGGCGGCTGGACCCAACTCCTAGACCCTAGGGCATCTGGGGCTCAGGGGACATCGGCCTCTGCCTCCAAAAGCCTTGGGTGCCACTCACCCTGGGGGCGTGGGGCCCGGTAGCCAGGCCTCTCTTCCCGCCCTCGCGCCCAGGCTGCCCAGACAGGGCCCAGAAGCCCGCTGGGGAGGGGACGGGCACGTCACCTTGGAGGTTCTGGGAGACTTCGGAGGTGAGCGCGCCCCGGAAAGGGGTGTGCAGGGGGTCTCCCCTCCGAGGCCCCTTTGGGGGCGGGACGGACCCGGGGCCGGGGACACACGTCCTGCCTGTGCTCAGGTCAGGGCTTTTGCTGCCTGGGACTGGCTCCCCCAAAGCTAAGGGCCCCACCCTGGAAGCACAGGGTCTGACGGGGCTTCCGGCCCCCACCCCCCGCCAGGCAGCCGCAGCCACAACTCCTCCTGCAGGAAGGAGCCCGACTTCCCAGTCTGGCCTGGCGCTGGGGAAGGGGAGAGCCCAGGGCAACACCCTGGCCCACCTGCCCTGCTGGCACAGCTCCTCCCACCAGACACCCCGCGGGCCAAGCCCTCTTCCTGGGCCCCCCATCTGCAGGGGGTGCCGGGGACTCCCGCAGACCAGAGGGGACGAAAGCAGCCTCCTCTGAACAGCTTTGCTGAGCGTGAAAGGGGACCCGGGCTCAGCCCGGCGTGGGGGCACTCCACCTCTGTCCCTGCTCGGCAATCCACACCATCGGACGCTCGGGAGCCCCCTGTACCGAGCCCTGCCCGGCTCTGTAACCCAGGCCTTCTGTACACCTGCCAGGCAGGAGCCCAGGGACGGAGGTGCCTGGAGCTGGCAGGGGACAGCAGGGGCTCCGGGACCACAGCTCCCAGGGCCCAAGGGAGGAGCAGAGGACGAGGGTGCAGAGAGGTGGGCGGGGAGGACAGGCAGGGAGTTTCTGCGGCTCAGTTTGTGGCAAAGGTTTTTTTTTTTTTTTTTTTTCCCCTTTTTCTTATGTAAAAAGTGCACGAAAGCTCGGCAGCCTCTTTGCAACGGTGAGCAGTGTCATCTGGGCTTGGGGCTGGCGAGGACGGGGACCCCAGGCCTGGCACCCCAGCTTGCCACTGAGGGTGGCCTCGTATTGCTTAGAAACCAGTCTCAGTTTAAATACCAGACTAAAAATAGAGCTTGGAGGACCACCCTCACGGTTGCCAAATCATTGCCAGAATGAACAGCTTCAATAAATAAAAAATCGAAATATTTACTTCTCGATAAAAATCGCAGTAAAACCATTTACCTCTCTTTGCATTATATATAATATATATTCATAGAAGGCCCGGCTGCTGGCGGCCCAGCCGAGGGCAGCAGAGGGCTCGGGGCGCTGGGCCCCCGCGGAGGGGCCGTCTGGGCTGCTGTCAGGACACCTCGATGACCTCCACGCTGCCCGAGAAGCTGGCCTGCTTGCCCAGGGTGGCCAGCTCCTCGCCGCGGGCACGCCCCTCCGCCATGCCCTCCTCAAACTCCATCTGGCAGCTCCGGCGCTTAAACTGCGTCTCCGGGGCTGGCTCTTCGGGCCAGCTGGTCCGCGCGTCCCGGGACTCAGCCCGCGCCGCCTCGCGCCTCCTCAGGTCGCCTCCGCCGCCCGTGCCCTGCGTGCCCGCCAGGCTGAAGGGCGCAAACCGCGCACCCTGTGCGCCCTCGGGGCTGAAGCACCAGAGCCCATCTGGGGAAGGCGTGCTGGGGGAGTCCAGGGGCGGTGTCCAGACCCCGGGGCTGGCCGGCTGGCCGGGGCCAGGCAACCCGGGGACCGATAGGGCGGAGAGGCCGTGCCGTGGAGTCTGCCGGGCGGTGTCCCCGAAGTTCAGGCCGAGGCCGTGCCCCGGGGAGCGCGCAGGGGAGCCTGCTGGGGGCCGGGGCCGCCGGCGGGGCCTCGGGCGCGCCTCGGGCGCCCCGTCTGAGCCGTCCGGGCTGGGCGAGGGCAGGCCTAGAGCGCCCCCCGACGGGCTGTCCAGCTTGCAGAGCTTGGGGGCCTCGCCCGGGTCGGAGGGCCCGGGGTCGCTGGGCCGCTGGCTGGGGGCGTAGGCCGACTTGATGTCCAGCGAGAAGGAGCGCTTGAGGCGGTTGGTGTCCTGGAGGCGGTCGGAGGAGAGGTGCAGGCCGCGCAGGCCCTGCTGCAGCGCGCTGGTGGCAGGGGCCACGGCAGGCGCGGGGGGCTCCCCGCCGGCGGCGGCGCTCGGGGCGCCCTCCCTGGCCGCTGCACTCCCGGTGGCAGCGCTCTCTGAGGTAGGTGGCGGCAGCGGCGGCAGAGGGGCCGCCGGGCCCGGGAGCGGCTCGGGTGTCCCCGGGAGGGTGGCCCCGTCGCCCTGCAGGGCGGCCAGCAGCTTCAGGCTCCGCTCGTACTCCAGCAGCTGGCCCAGGAAGTTGAAGTTGGGCGAAATGGAGGGGCGCCGGTCCTTCACGAACCTGCGGCGCGAGGCGGCTGGGTGACCACAGGGCTTCCCCCGGGGCCGGGCTGGGCTGCCCACCCACCTCTCGCCGCACCCCCAGCCCATTCCTGGGCCGCTGGCTGCTGTGCAGCCCGCTGGGCAGGTGCTGGACTCGGGCCTCCACACCGCTGGCCCAGCTGATGCTCGTGGGTGGAGTGGAGAGGGGAGGGGAGGGGAGGGGAGGGGTGGTCTCCAGTCACAGAGCAGGGCGGGCTACCTGTAGGCGTCGTCCGAGGACATGCCCATGGTCTTCATGATGTAAGCGATAGCGATGGTGGCGGAGCGGGAGATGCCAGCCAGACAGTGAACAATGACTTGGCAGCTGGACAGCTTGGCTTTATCTGGGGGCAGCAGGGGCAGTGCGGGCACCGGCGCCCAGTGAGTGCTGGGGTGGCCCAGCCCCCCTCTTCCCCAGGTAGAGGCACCCCACGCTCCGGCCGCCAACTAGCCCCTCCCAGCCAGAGCGCTGGCCCCGCCCTCCAGTTCCCCGGGCCCCCGCCCCCCACAGTCGGGGCAGGGCGCTCCCTCACCGATGAACTCGATGGACTTGTCCAGCCAGGGCAGCAGCTTTTCACAGTAGTTGTCGTTGATGGGGATGCGCATGAAGCGGCTCTCGCAGATGAAGTCTGGCTTGGGGCAGGAGTTGCTGGCATTGAGGACGTAGCTTATTCCATTTTGGGTCATCAGATCCTGGAGGGACGGGAGGACAGGCTGGGAGCGTGCGCCGCTGGGCAGGACCTCGGGAGCCGGCATCTCGGAGCCTCCGAGGTCGCCCCGCCCACTCCGGGCCCAGAAGCCCACGGCCCCGCCCACGCCCCGCCCCGGCTCCCAGGAATCTCAGGGCTGCCTGGGCGGCGGCTTTGCCCTCTTCCCTCGTCACCATTTTTAAAACACGGGATTCTTCCAGCGCTGGCCAGGGGCCCAGTGACATCAGCAGTGTGGCATGCGGGCTCTGCCGCCGCAGGGCAGGGAGCTGCTTCTCCGCCCTGCCGGGCCCTTCCCCCAGCCCGGCTCCGGTCCTGCCGGCCCCGGGGTCCCCCGTGCCCCCAGCGCGCGCGTCCCCGGCCCCCGTCAGCCTTCAGCTCCGCCCTCCCTCCCTCCCCCACGAGCCCCGGAGCGCTCCCGGGCGCCCGCGCCTCCCCGGGCCCGCGCAGGCGCACACACCTTGTTCAGGACATCCTTCTGAGAACCCAGGTAGAGGTGAGGCAGGATGCGGGTCAGGCCCACGCTGGGCACGGGCAGGCAGGGCTGCGAGAGGCTCACGGGCAGCGGGGCAGCGGGTTTGCCCTCGCAGAGGCCGGGGAAGCAGGAGGAGAAGGTGGCGAAGCCCCCTGCAGGACGCGGGATGGAAGAGGCTGTCAGGCCGGCCGCCTGGGCAGGACGGAGCCCTGGTGCAGACCACTGCGGGGCTCCAGCCGCTCCCAGCCCGGCCCCCAACGCCCGACCCTCCGACCCGGGCACCTGGGCTCAGGGCCGCGTGCTGGAGGGCCATTTCAGCGCGGCAGCCCATGGGCTCGTGCATGCCCTCTGCCGACAGCCCGCCCCTACGCCCACATTCCTCCCCACGCTAGTGAGGGGGACGCTGTTGTGACGCCCGTAAAACGTGGGGTCGCAGGGGCCGCCCGCGCGAGACCCAGGCGGGAGCAGGCTCCGCGGCGGCGCTGGGGGTCTCCTGGGGAGGGCGTGGATCACACGGCCCCTCCGCCCTCCCCATGGCCAGGGCCAGGTTGGGCCTTCCACCTCTCCCCCTGGGCTGATGCAATACCTCCCTCCCTGCATCTGGCGAGGAGCCGCGGGCCAGGCTTGGGTGCCAGGGCCAGAAGGCAAGAGCTTCCGAGGGCCACCCCCCTCCTGGGTATGACATCACCCACTGGAATTGGCGCCGCCCGTGGGGGCCTCTGCGCTCGGGGGACGGCTCCATTCCACCAGCAAAGACGGAGGAGCCGGGTGCCCAGGGAACAGGGTGCACGCAGGGCGGGCAGGGGACACGCGGGCTCCATGCGGCCGGCACGTGCACTGCCACCGTGCCCGCACAGCACCTCTGAGTCCTGGGCCACGGGTCGGAGGAGGGAGCCCCCCACCGGCCGCGGTGGCCAGTGTGGAGTCCCTCCCCAGCACACCTCTGGCTCAGGGAGTGACCGCAGACAGGCAGGGCAGCTCCCCGTACTGCCTGCCACACACTGGGAGGGGACTCGCTCCCGCCTGGCTGGGCTGGGTGACCGCTGAGTTGATCCAGCAACTGGGCAGTGCCCAGTGGCCGCCAGCTCTTGGTAGAATGAGGGAGGCCTGCCGGGCAGGCCCCTCGGGCCGACCACACCTCCAGGGGCACAAGCCCCGTGGCACCTTTGCTGCTCCCCGCCCAGTAGCCGCTGTTCCCAGTCCTAGTGGACCAGCCCATCCCATGCGACAGCGAGGCCAAGGCCTACCCCACCCCACTGGGGGAGGCAGAGAGTGGGGTGGGGTCTGGTGCCCAGAAGCAGCCGGTGCCAGAGACCTGCTGGCTCCCAAGGTCAGAGACAACGGGGGCTCCCGCCTGCACCCTGGCCCAGCCCCATGGCCACTGCGTGCCGACCCCCCCCACCGCCGAGGCTCCCTGTGCCCCTCCAGCGAAGGCTTGACTCTGGGGAGCATGGCGGTGGGGCCCTCCAGGCCAGGGAGGGGAGGCGCAAGCCTCAGAGGAGAAGCCGTGCCTTCCCTTGGAAATTAGTACCAACACCGCCGCTCGTGGGTTCCCCGGGACAGGAGGCCACGCTGGAGCCGAAGGTGGGCTCCTGCTCACCATCCAGAGCCAAGGACCCTCCCTGTTCAGAGCAGCCTAGCCAAAGTTGGGGGCGGTGGTCCACCTGGAGCCCCTCCCGAAAAAGGAAGCCTCTGCTCAGGTGCAGTGGCCAGCCAGCCTTGCTGCAATTTCTCAGCGAAGACCCCCAGGATCCTCCCGGGTACAGCCAACAGCGTGGGGAGCCCCCTTCCACCCCCTAGAGATGCCAGGTCTGGCAGAAAACCAGGGCGGACCCAAGCTCTAGGGATGCAGCGGCAGACCTAGGCCCTCAGCAGGTGCCGGCGCTCCCAGATGCGGGAGGGCGCCCTGAGCCCCTGGGCACCCCTGACGGCGCCTTCCTGCAGAAGGCGTTCCTGGAGGGTCCGGGAGGGTGCAGCGGCCGGCCTGCCCCTCACAATGAGACGCCGGACTCCTCGCGCAAAAGCGCGCGCCTGGACGCGCGCCCACCCGGCGGGGACGCGCGCCCAGCCACCGCCCCACCCGCCGCCTCTGCTACCGCGCGCTCCAGCCCTAAGGCCGCCCCCACCCCGCCTTCCCCGGCGGGTCCCTACCCACCCTCCGCGGTGGGGCCACTCCCGCCGCGGCCTCCAGCCCGGGCCGGAGGGCGACGCGCACGGGGCCGCACCGCAGGGGCGCACCGGTCCGTCGGCGGCGGCATCCCTGCATTCCGCAGCGCCGCGCGCGAGCAGCCGCCAGCTCGGGGCTCCGGCCGCTTAAAGGGCCAGCCTCCCCTTCCCATCCCCGCCCGCGCTGGCCGTAACAGCCCAGCGGCTGGGTTGGGGGCGGGGGGACCGGGGGACAGGGGTCACAACTGCCGGTTCTCGACCGCAGGGCGCCTGACCCCACCACCTTCTCCTGCTTGTGCCCCCCTCCCTGTCATGGGTGCGGGTGCGGGTGAGAGTGGGACCCCCTCCCTTCCAGCAGGATCGTCCCCAATTCTTGGGGCTCCCCGGTGCCCCTCACCTCTCTACCAGGAGTCAGTCTGCAAGTTCTGGCCCCTCCCCTGTGCCGTTTCCCGACGCCCCTTTCCAGGTGGGCAGCGCCCCCCACTCTGCTCGACCTGGCCTTTCCATTCTCACTGCTTAGGCGTCTGCTTGCCTCGATGGCATGGGAGCTGCGAGCAAGGCCGGGGGCTCTCGCTATGTCTGGGTCCTGACTTGGTGTCCCCAGGAGCCCCCCTGAGGGCCATGATTCTCCCTGGCTGGGCTCTGGGGAAACAGGGGCACATGACCCACTTTTGCAGGGCGGGGCAGAAGAGAGAGCCGGGTGGGGCGTGGCTAGGTCCCAGGTGGGCTCTCCTGGCGCATCCCCCCCAGGCCTGCCCCTCCGAGGGCTGTGAGAGGGGTCCCCGCCCTGGGGAGACAGGCCACTCGAGGCTCCAGGCTTCTGCTGGCAGCCTGAACATGGGAAGGGGGGCCAAGCACTGGAACCCTCTTCTCAGACCCCAGGGGGCCTGGCGGTTCCCACCCCTGTTGGGGGTCGCGTGCATGCACTGGGTTTCCCGGCCGGCCCCGGGAGAGCTCCTGCTCTGCCCTGGGACACGTGCAAAAGGCCCAGTCTGCTGCCCTCTGTCCCCTCCCTGCCCACTCAGCCCAGTGGCGTGGGGGACAGGGCAGGGGTGTGCTCAGTGTCTGCTCTGCTGTGGCTCCGGTGCCACAGGGACACACGCCCCGCACCCTGCCCAGACGGGCTGGGGAGCAGCAGAGCTGGGACACACAGGTCGGCGGGTGCTGGCTGCCTGCGTCCCAGTGCCACGCACAGGCGCAGACCCCTCTGGCCACACAGACCCCGTGCAGAGAGCACTGGGCCGCGTCAGACCCACGTGGAGAGGACGGCACGCGCCTGTGCCCCGCGCCCACCTGCCACACTGGGCTCGCCCGGTGCCGCCTCGGAGGGCTCTCCCCCAAGCAGCCTGGCTGCGGCGGCCAGCGGGCTGCCTACAGGAGCGAGGGGCCGGAGGGGCCGCGGGCGCAGATGAGTGCCGGTGTGCTGGTGTACAGTGCGCGTGCGCAGGGGTGCGTGGGCGGCCTCCCAGCCCCGGTGTGGGCCTGGCCGCTCAGGGGAGTGGGAAGCCCCGTGGGGCCCTCCGAGGGCCACCTGGCCAGGGTCATGAGCATCCTGTGCTGGGCGGGGGCCTGGGGGGCCCGCCCCGTGCGGGGACCAGCTCTGCCCATGCCGGGGTTCCCAGACGCTGGGGTGACGCCCCCTTCTTGGGACAGCTGCGGGGGTGCATCCTCAGCAGAGCCACACCTTTGCCTGGACCCTGCCCCCCAACGAGGTGTGTGTGGGTTTCTTTCCGTTCACCTCTCTACCTGCTAGCGGAGGGGGACCTGAGGGGGTCCAGGGGAGGGGATGGTGGAGCCCGGAGAACCCCAGAGCTGCTGAGGCCCCCACCGCTCAGCAGACGCATAGAGGAGAGAGAAGAGCCGAGGTGGACCCAGCACCCGGGCCCCCGCGGCGCCCCAGCCCCGGCCAGCGGACGGGGCTCACCTGTGAGGATGGCCACGCTGTCGAAGCACCCGTCCAGCTTGCTGAGCAGGATGGAGAGGAAGCTGTCTGCCGCCAGCACGCTGGCGTCCCGCGTGCTCTGGTCATAGACCACCACGTCCTGCGGCTCCTCGGCCTGGACCTGAGGGCCGGGGGCACAGGTCACAGCACCGCCGGGCGGGGCGTGGGGGGCGGGAGGGGGGCTGCCTCGCACGGTGGGAAGACAGATACCCCCCCCGCCGTACGCGGACAGGTGTGCCGCCCACAGCTGCACAGGCGGTCCAGGCGGAGATGCAGGTGGGGCGGGGTCCCCAGCGCGGCTCGGCCACGCGCACGCTCACAGGAGTGAAGGGGCAAGCACTGCGGCCCCCACGTGGGAGAGACACCGGGGACCTGTGACTGTGCTGGGCTCACAACCACAGGATCGCACGGCCACGGCCTGGGTTGGCGCCCACGTGGCCGCGGCCAAGGGGACCCTCTCCTCAGAGTCCCTGGGAAGCGCCTCTCGGGGATCTGAGGGCAGGGCACCTCTGGGTCTGGCTCACCTCTCTCCACATCCCCAGCCAGCTGGCTGCACGGAAACCGAGGGCCACAGCAGGAGCCGCCCCAGTTCAGGAGGCAGCAGCTGGAGGCTGCGCTTCCACCTGCCCTCCTCCCCCTCCGAGCGCCCAGCCTGGGGGCCAGATGTTCAGCGGCTTTTGCTCAGAGAGCGGCCGATGCCCCCGTCCCCGGCACACTCAGCCCGAGCCAGCTGAGCCCCCGACCCGGCCGATGATGTCACCAACAGCCAATGGGCTGGCGCTCTGGCGGGGAACCCTTGCTGGGGGTGATTGATGACCCGATTCCCCTCATTGAGGCTGCGGAGAGCGGCCTGCCCGGTGCGGGGGCGGCGGGGGGCTCCCGACAGCCGGGCGTCTCACCTGGGCTCCCACAACCCCCCTCCCCGCAGCCCCCGCTGCCGCTGCCTTCCCGGGTCCCTCCCCAGCTGGGGCTTGATGCTGCTGGGAACAGGGACAGGGTGTCTGCTGCAGGTGACCCGCGGCCCTCGTGGGGGCCACAGGGGAATTCTGGGCCACTCAAGACTCCAGAAGGGAAGGAGCCGGGGTGCTGAGGACGGGGGCCGCTCGCTGTGAGACTCCTGGCCCCCTCCTGTCCTCGCCTGAGTCCTCACAGCCACCCAAGGGAAGTGCCTGGCCCGGCGGCCGTCCCGGCCCGCGCCCCCCGCCGGGCCCTGGCGCACCCTGTGCCCCGGCTCCTTCACGTGTCGCTCATCCTCTGCCTGCCCCCCGCTGGGCCCCCAGCACGTGGCCTTGTCTGTGTGCTCGGAGGGACAGCTCCGGGGGAGCCGAGTGAGGGCCGGGACAGGGTTGGGAGGCTCTGGCGAGGGATGGGGAGGGTGGGATGGCTCCGACATCCTGACCTGGTTTGGTTCAAGGGCGCAGGAGGGGCAGCTGCCCAAGCCCAGGGCCCCTGTGCAGCAGGCCGAGAGCTCAGCCCTGGGCCCTGGGGGTGCCGGGAGCCCGGGCGGGGCAGCGAGCCTGGGAAGGACACGGGGCGCCGGGTGTGGGGCAGGCGCTGGGTACCTGGCCGCGTGCAGCAGGCTGGATGAGCTCCGCGATGGTCACCTTGCCCTGCTGCAGCCGCCGCTTCACCAGCTTGGAGCAGCAGATGTTGACGGAGCTGAGCACGTGCCAGCGGTTGTATTCCACGAAGGAGCGGCTGTCAATGACCAGCGGGCCCCCAGGCCCTCCCCGCAGCAGGCTGGCCAGCTTCTTGGCGTCCATCACCTTCCTGGGGAGCCGGTCCCCGGCCATGGTGGGCAGTGGACAGTGGGGAGGGGGTGCCCCCTGAAGTCAGCAGGGGCTGCTCCGATGGCCCAGGTGTGGCCTAGAGCATGGAGTGACCAGGCATGGCGCCAGACCTGCAGGGAGAGGCCACCGGTCAGCGCGGGCTGCTGAGGGCCCAGGGCAGGACTGCCTGGTCCGGCACGTGCCCTCGGGCGCTTCCCGCCTTGAGGAGAACCCGCGTCTCTCCGGCTCCGCTCTGAAGGCCCGTTGGAATCTGTGACACACGGGGCTGGAACGTGCAGGTGCTCGGGACTGGGCCCGTCAGCCCATAGCATCCGGTCCCACCGCCCTGGGGACCAGAGGGAAGGGGCTCGGGTGTGGACTGGGCCCCAGAGGTGCAGGACAAGCCCTCAGCGTCCAGGGACCCCTTCCTTCCGCCCCCAACATCTTCCCCGGCCCCAGGACCCCTCGCCGCCGCGCCCCCGCTCCAGCGCAGGCCCTCCCTCTGTGGCTCCAAACAGCCCAGCCGCTCCATCACCCGATGACCTGGGCGGGAGAGTGGGGGTCGGGACCGCCTCCCCCAGCCGATGGGCTCCTGAGGCAGGCGGCCCCCGGGGGGTGCTGCGGGGGCCCCTCTGCTGCCACCGGAGCTCCAGCTCTGCAGGCCGAGGCCTGGGGCGGGCTGCGCGGTCGCCACACGCAGGGTGTGGGCCGGCGCCCTCCCGCAGGACACAGGATTGGGGCTGCCCCGGGCACAGTGGGGGCCTGGGGGTACCACCTAGGGGCCGGTGGATCCCAGAATGGGGTGTGGGGGGGCAACCAAAGATAAAGGCGAATGTGGGGACCCGTGTCTGGGACCCTCAGCACAGCCTCCAAAGGCCCTCGGGCTGAAGGGTGCAGGGGTACAGGCAGTGCAGAGCCCCCGGGGAAGCCTCCTCCTGGGGGGCCCCCGCCAAGCCCCTGCCACCCCCAGCCCACCTGCCGGGCCCCACAGCGCCTGCCCCCACGTAGCGCCAGCGTTTCTCTGGGCCCGTCAAGGCCTCCCAGCCCCGGGAAGTGCGCTGCGTCAGGGTCATGAGTTTGCTCTGAAGATGGGTAAACTGAGGCTGGGGGAAGGGGTGCGACCCACCCAAGGTGACGCCAAGGAGGCCGGACAGAATCCCTGGCCTCACCCCATCAGGCCTTCCCTCGGCCACACGCCGACCCAGCTCGGGGGGCGAGCGGAGGCGACGGGGAGGCAGGTGTCCCCTGGGGCCCGCAGGGAGGGGCCCCTTGGGCAAGCCCCCAGCCTGCAGCTGCCGCGGGCGCTGGTGCGAGGCACCCTGAGAACCACGGCCGCGCCTCCGCCGGCAGTGACAGCGTTGGTGGCCACGGGGGCCCACTCTCGGGGGAGCCCAGAGAGAGGCCGGGACCGGGCAGGGGTGGGCGGCGTCCACCGGCAGGCGCCGCGGGGCTGACCGCCCAGCTGGCGCCCAGGGAAGTGCCCAGGGCAGCCCGGCCAGCAGGCGGGGTCTGGGGGTCCTCCACAGATGCCTGCCTCCCAGGCCCCTCCCCCATGGGGGTGCAGCTGGGCCGAAGCCCCCAGGTCCCCGCCTACATGCCTCTCCCACCGGCCTGGGCGGGGCCTCCTGCCCGTGGGGGTGGAGCCGCGAGTCCAGCTCAGAGGCACCGGACCTCGAGCAGAACGGCGTGCGGGAGGGTGGTCCTTGCCTCCACGTCCCCACCAGGCAGCCCAAGGCTGCAGCAGCCACAGTGGACCTCAGCGCGGGCAGGGGGGTGGGGGGCTGGGAGGGGAGGCCTGCGCGCTGCGGCCCAGGGTGTGGAGGTATCCAGCCCACGGATGGGCGCGCAGGCCACAGGCGGGCAGGGCGGAGGGAAGGCTGAGGCCAGAGAGGAGGGGGCCTGGCAGGGGCGTGGGCAGCCTGCCCAGGCCGGTACCTGGCCCCCCCACCTCTCCAGGATCCTCCAGCGTGGCCCTGTTAACCACCACAGTATTGTTATTTGCAGCCGAGGGGGACTCATTAGCCAGTTAGCACCTCCGTTGTTGCCATGGCAATAGCAGAGGTGCCAGGCAACCGCTGCTTCTGCGGCCGCAGCAGCCACAGAGCAAGGCTGGCTCTGCTGGGCGGCAGGTCCCCTTCCTCGCGTGTTCTTTCTCTTCCCAGCCCTGCAGGTGCCTGGCAGCTGGGGCTGGGACCACCCCCAGCCAGGCCCACGCGGCCCCTGCCCCCGCTGCTCTGCTTGGCCGCTACCCTCCTCACGGCCTGGTGCTCTCCCTGCAGGGACCCCCACCCCCGGGAGGCCTTCCCTGCCCAGCCCAGCTCTGGCCCAAGCTCCTCCTGCACCGAGATCTAACCCTGACCACCCCCCCGCCCGGCGAAGGCAGATGCTGCGAACCAGGACCCAGGGCTGGGCACCAGGCGGGGCTCAGGGGCAGGGCGCTGAGGGCAGCCTTGCGTGGTCGCTGTGGCCAGAACAGGCCGGCGGGTACGGACGCCTTAGACGCTACAGGGTCTTGGGCCTCCCTGCTTGCAAGGGCGCACCGCAGGCTCAGGCCAGACCCCACTCCTGGAACTACGGAGCGGGAGGGGCCCCGGCCATCTCCTGTTCCAGAGCCTGGGTGCGGGGGTGGGGCGGAGACACAGCCCACGGGCCCCCACCAGGGCCCCTTCCTGGTCCGGAGGCAGGAGAGCCCTCCCTGCGCCGCTGGGCGCTGCCCGGCCCCGGGGCCACGCGCGCAGCGCTGAGCCTGCTGGGACATGCCCCTCTGCACACTGACCGCGCACGGGCCGGTGCTCACCCTTTCCCACGGCCCACCCCACCCACCCCTGCCATGTGCAGTCACACGCAAGCGTGTGTGCACATACCTGTGGTCGGCGGGGGCATGCGTCCTGGCCCTCGGCATGCCAGGCTCCCCCAAATGCCAGGACACGCCACCCCGGGGCCAGCTCGGCGGCCTTGCACGCTTGGCTCCCCGGGCCTCCCTGGCCACGCTCCCCACGGACAGCACCCTCACCCAGGCCCCGCTGCTCGGCGTCGGGGGATGGGGAGCTCGCTGCCCCGAGGCGGCTGTCAGGGCTGGGAGGATGGGCTGTGGCTCTTTCTCAGGAGTGGTCTCTGGCACACGCAGGCGGCCTCGCGGGAAGAGCGGGCATGGGGGGACCTGTGCTGCCGGCGTGCCCAGCCTGCAAGGACCCAGGAGTGGCAATGCCCCATCGAGCCCCCCAGAGGCGGGGCCCGGGGTTCACGCCCGGCCAGTTCATATCCCCCGCCCCCCGTGTTCATCAGGGACCCCAAAGCTCGCACCGCCGCACCCCTCTCAGCTCCAGGGGGTGAGCAGAACAGGGCCCAAGCTAGCCTTCACTCCTCCACCCCGCGGGGGAGGCTCTGGCCTTGAGAAACAGCGGGTGGGGGGCCTTCCCCTCAGCTCCCGGGGGCCTGGGATGCGCCTGGGGCGGGGGCGCTCGGCATGCGGGCCCTGGACAAGGGCCCCACCACACCTGGGCCTCCTCCGTTCCTGCCGGGCTTGTCCCCACGTCACACCCCCAGGCTCGCCCCGGCTCCGCCGGTCGCCGTCCACTCTGTTTCGTGCATGGACCGGCTGCCCAGGCAGGGCTGTTCAGGAGAAGCGGCCTGAGCACATCCCCGCTGCGGGGCCGGCCCCTCCTCCGCGCCCCTGGTGAGCCGCGTGCACGTCTCGGAGGTGTGACCCCTTGGCTTCCCTTGGCCACAGCCCACGGCCGCTGGAGCCCTCCGTCCAGTGGAGACGCCTGGCCCCGAGGGCAGCCTCGGCCGAGCGGGGAGGCGAGGCGGGGAGGGTCCCGGAGCACGGGAGGCTCTGGGGCATCTGTGGGGCGCGCTGCTCCTGGACGTGGCCTCTGGGGCCCGGGAGCCTCTTGAGGGCAGAGGGCAGGAAGGCACGGGAACCTGCTCCGCGACTCCCAGCCCAGGCCGACTGCAGCCCAGCCTCAGGGTGCAGCCCCCTCCTCAGCAGGTGCCCGCTAGGCATCTGCCTGATGTGGCAGACACCCGCCCGCCCGGGGCAGGGTGGGGGCACTGGGTGCTCCTCGCAGTCCAGGCCGCCCCGGGGGGCCGGGGGAGAAGCCCGGCCCGGAAGATCCCCGCTGTCCCGGCCTGCAGCCCGCGCTCCAGCTGCCCCCCAGGGGCCCCACAGACGCCTTTCCGGCAGCCCCCAGCTCCCCTTGTCCCGTCCTGGCGGCGGCTCACAGCCCCCCAGCTCCCTGCAGCAGGAGCCAGAAGGTGAATTCTCCCAGGAGGCGAGGGCCTGGCGCCCTCCGGGCCAGACTAGGATATGCCCTCCCCACCCCCAGGTGGGGAGAAAGGCGGAAGGAGGCCGGCTGCAGGCAGCCTGGCGGTGCCAGCCCCTCCCCCAGCACTGGGCTGCCTCTGCAGCGGCCTGGCCAGGGTCTTTATTCCGCAGAGGCCCGCGGAGCGCCCGAGCTGGGTGCCTGTGGCAGCCTGGGCACAGGGGGCGGAGGGTCTGCAGCAGCCTCTGCCCGAGGCGGAGTTAGCCCTTTCCCCAAGCCTCCCAAAGGCCAAAGGCCCTCCGCGCTGTGGCCAGAGCCCCGCACCCCCGACAAGCCCGCCGCCCGGACGACCTTCTCCAATTCTGGGACCCAATGTGGGGGGGGGCGCTGTCCGGGGAGGTGGGGCATCGTAGCCTCGTGCGGGGGTCGGACAGATCCCCGCTGGATCTCCAATGGCCCTTCTGGGTCCTTAATTCATAACCCCTCCCCCCACCAAGATAAGAAGCCATCGCAAGAAGAAGGGCGGCTAATCGGTGGCAGGGCGTGGGCCGGGCCGGGGTCCCCCGGGCGCTGCGGGAAGCGGGGCAAGGGCTCCCCGTCCAGTCCGTGGGAGCCCTGCGAGCTGGGCTCGGGGCCGCCACCCCGCGAGCCGAGGCCGCTCACCTCCCGGCCGCCTCTTCCTCCAGGGCGCCCGCTGGGCGCAGGCCCCTGGCGCTCCCGACGTGGCGCCCCCCCGGGCAGCGCCAGGCGCATAGGTTCCGTGCCGGTGACCCTCCTCCCCGCCGGCGTCCCCCGCCCCTCGCCCCCGCTCACCTCGCTCACGCTCGCCTCCGGGGCGCACCGGGGCACCGCGCCGCGCTCAGCGCGCCGGGTCGGCTGCGCCGCCCATTGGCCCGGCGGGGGCCCGCGCAGCCGGGGCAGGGGCCGGGGGAGCGTGCGGGCCGCGTCGCCGCCGCCGCCGTCGCCGCCGCGGCCGCCGCGGGGAGCGCTCGTTCGGGCCGGGGCGCGCGCACTGCGGGCGGGCACGCGCACTCGCGGCGCGCATCCCACCCCGCGGCTCCGCGGGCGCGGCCGGTGCTGCTCCGGCTCCGGCTCGGCTCGGGCTCCGGAGTCCGGCTGGGGGCGCCGAGCCGGCTCCGCCGCGAGTGACAGGCCCGGGGCGGAGGGCGGGGCCGCCGGTGGGGATGAGGTCATGCCGAGCGAAAAAAGCCCCTGACGTCACCTGCAGCCAATCAGCGCGCGCGGCTCGGGGGCAGGTGACGTCAGCCGGAGCCCAGCTTTGGGTGCAGATGAGAGGCGGCGGCCGCAGGGGGCGGGGGCCGGGCTCGCCGCGGCCGCCCTCCGCCCTCTGCCCTCGCCGGGCACCCGGGCACTGGTTTTTAAAGGGGCCGCGCGGCGTCCTGGTGAGGGGCTCGGGACCCCTACCTCCAGGAAGCCTTCCCCGCCCCGGCGCCCTGCTTCGCCCGGGGATCCGAAGCCTCACCGCGCGTAGACTCGCGGAGCGTCCGACTGACCGGGTCCCGCGCGGGGATCTCCTCCCTGCCGGACGGGCCGGAGCTGGCGCCCCCCCCTCCCCCGCAGCCTTTGTTCGTGCGGGGCCTGCCTCCGGGAGAGCCTTCGCTTGCCCCGGGTCCGGCCCGCGAGTGCGCACCGTGAGCCCGGCCCTGCGGGGCACTCTCCCTGCAGCGTCTGCGCTCACCCGTCTCCGCGACTCCCGGAGGTGGGAACGCGGGTCTCCACTTCTCCCGGCAGGAGACCGGACGTTCAGAGGCGAGGTGGTTTGCCTCGGTCACCCATCTCATGCACTCTGGTGTTGGGGGGCGGGCGATGCAGAGCCGCTGCCCCCAGCCCAGCCGATGACCTCCTGCCCTGGACGCTGCCAGTGAAAAACCACCCCTAAACAGCGCTCACCGGGGCCCACCCAGCCAGCGTGCGCCCCTTGAGCCCCCCAATCCTGCCCCCCCCCACGCACCTCCACCCCTCCCCTTCTCAATAAAGACTGCGAGGGTCCGCCCCCAGCCGGTCACTGTGGGAACACAACCAGCCTCTGCTTGGACGCTGGGAGTCCAGAGCGGGAACAAACATAGGTAATTACACCTTGGGCAAGTGTTGTGCCGGAAGCAAACAGGAGCCGGCGACACACTGGAGCAGGTGAGTGTCCCGGAGGCCACCCCAGGAGGTGACCGGCAAGCAGTGGCTGGCGGCGGAGGCAGCCTGTGGTGCAGCAGGGACCAGAGGGGACCAGCAGCCACACACCTATTGATTCGTCAAATATTTACTGAGTGCCTTCTCCGGTCGCCCGGGCCCTGGGCCCGCGCCGGGACTTATTTCCCAGAAGGGAGGAAAGAGCCCAACCCAGGCGCTGACCGGCCCTGGGGGCCTGGAAGGTAACCATTTTGGGGGAGGGTGTGGCTAGACAGCCCCACCATTTCCAGCCCCCTGCCCCGGGCTTGCCCGTCCCTGCCTGCAGCTCCAGCTGGCGAGGCCTCCCCGCCTGGGCTCTGGGAGGGGCTCTGGTCCCCAGGAAGTGCAGCCCCTTCCCATGCAGGGAAGGAGCTGGGGGGGCTCTAGCCATCGCTGGTTGGAAGGAGGGTCCCAAAAAATGAAGCGGGCAAGACCGGCCTGTCCCCTCAGGGCTGGGGGGACACCCAGGACCCCGGAACTCTGAGTGGGAGCGGGGGAGGCGCGTGCTGGCGGGGGAGTAGGAGGGGACCTCCACTGCCCCACACTCAGCTCTCCCCGCCAGGCTGTGCTGCCTCAGAGCTTAGCACACAGTAGGAGCCCAATGAGTGTTCGCGGCTCCTCCCTCGGGGGCTTGAGGAGCATCCAGGCCGTTGTGGCGGGGCGGGGGGGATACACGTGTGTGCGGAGTGGCTGGCTCAGAGCCAGCACTCAGGAGAAACAAACATCGCGGGGGCTGGGGAGACAAGCCCTGGGATCCCCCGGCTGCTTGGCTGCTTGGCTGCTTGGCTCAAGGTTTTCCTCCTTCCCTGAGCCAGGCCGGTCCGCGGGGCAGGTGGGGGGGGGCCCTGCAGGGAGGAAGGCCCTGGCCAGGGTGGACCCCCAGCTCAGCAGGGGAGATGCCCAGCAAGGCTGCACGGCCAGGTCAGCGATGGGGGGGCAGGGCGGGAGCAGTGAGGCCTGGCTGTACTGGGCTCGCTCTGGGCCTGAAAAGTGGGGGGGGGGGGCGGCCCGGGAAGCCCTGGCAGAGCGGATGGGCCTGGGACCCACGGGAGCGAGGCTGTCCGTGTCTTTCTAGGAAACCGTCACCCGAGGGGGGACGCCCGAGCTGGCTTGTTCCCCTTGCCGGGCGCAGGGGCCTCAGGGAGAGGAGGCGGGTGGTGCTGCCCAGGTGGGCTCCCCGCGCAGGCGGGACCAGCGCTCGCCTGGAGCCCCCAGGAACTTGGCCTGGGCCCTGGGCAGTGCCCAGCGAGGCCTGAGCGGATGGCGGTAAAGTGGGGGCTGGCAGGGGTGTCCTGGTGTCCCTTTCTAGAAGCTGCGAGTGTGTGGGTGGCATAGGCCCCCCGGCTGTGCCCGGCTGGGGAGCACATTTAGGCTCCGAGTATTGTGTCACCCTAATGGTTATTTCTCCTGCAAATGAGTCCTTAAAACCGGACATTCTGCAACAACAGGGCGGATGGGTAGGGACGGTGACTTTGCAATGCCACCAGCTCTGGCCCGAGGTTCCTTCTAGACCAGGAGCTGGATTCGATCCCCTCTGGCTTTCAGGTGCTCCCTCGCCCCCAAGCGGGAGGTTGGCGCCTGACGGTCCCTGAGCCTCAGCCCCCAGCCCGGCTCAGCTTGGCTGGACAGCCTGCGTCTCCTCTGCGCACAGGTGTGGAGGGCAGGGGCGACCTGGGGAGCGGGCTGCGGTGGGGCCCTGCGGTGGGCCGCGCGTGAAAGGGAACGCCTCACACAGAGCCTAGAGCTCCCAGGGGGGCCTGGCCTCCCACAGTGGCCGCCGTGCGAGGTGCCGCCACTCAAGCCTTTCACTCAAGCCCAGCCGTCCGGGGCACCCTGGTTCCCCGCCGGTAATCGGAGCCGCGCGGGCCTGGGCGCGCGGACGGTGCGCAGGGTCCCCGGCGTGGAGCCTGACCCCGCTCAGCGCCAGGCAGGCGGCGAGGCCGCGTCCGGGGTCGGGGCCGCGTCCGGCTGCCCGGCAGGTCGGAGCGCGGCGGCCTCGGCGGTCCGTGCGCGCCCTCTGCCGCCCGCCTGCGCGCGCTGCGCCTGCGGAGGACGCCCAGGGCCGGTGCCTGAGCGCATCCTGTCTGTGCAGGAGGAAGGCGGGGTCGCTTTTTCTCGCTGCTTTGCAACCCAGGGGACCCACAACAGCCGTTTATGCATCGTATCCACTTCCTGCTGCCTCACTTTTTAAAAGTCAAGACCCAGTTAATAAAATGGCGAACGAATTGATAGATGGTTTTGAAAACTGTATGGACCCACGTGACCAGGGCATTTCCGTCACCCTGAAGAGTTCCCCTTGCGTCCCTTCCCAGACAATTGTCCCCGCGCCGTCCGACCTGCCACCATGGGTTACTGTTGCCTGTTTGTGAACTTCGTAGAAATGGCACCGTGCAGTGTGCACTCTTCTGTGCTCGGCTCTTTTTCCACTCAAGGAACGTTTTGGAGGTGCCCACCCCCCGGTGACCCATCTCTGCATGGTGTCCTGTGTTGCATGGATGCGCGGGTGCTCCAGCCCACTCTGCGGTGTGCGGTTCCGCATTTCAGCTGTTAAGAACAGTGCAATGCGCAGTGTCCTCTATGCTTAAAAGAAAAATCTCACCGGAGGGTCTGTTTGTTGATTTGAGAGAGAGAGAAACATGAACGTGAGAGAGAAACCCCCCCCCCACCGCCCCCCTCTCCTGCATGTACCCCGACTGGGCACCGAACCTGCCGCTAGGCGTGTGCCCTGCCCACGGTGACGGAACCGTGACCGCGTGCTGTGCAGGACGGCCCTCCAGCCAATCGGGCCCCTCCCCCGCCCCCCGGCCAGGGTCTATCTGCTTTTAATAACACACACACAGGTGGTTCTCTTTCCCGTTGTTTAATTACGATACTTAAAAACTCACAAATCAGCACAGAGAGAAGGCCACTGCCAACGCCCAGCTCCTGGAGCCCGCGAGGCCGGCATTTTCCTGTTCCTGCTTCGGGGGAGGCCCCGGTGTCGGCACCCAGGCGCGGCCCCATCCCCGCCCCCCGCCGTGCCCCCTTGTCCAGAGGCGGCTGGTGCAGGGCGCTGGTGCCCGCCGGCTCCGCCCATCTCGCTTCCCCGCAGGTGTCGGTCACACGGCCAGCGGCCAGCGGTCCCTTGGGTTTTTATGTTCAGCACGGAGGCCGCACGGCGCAGCTGTTCTCCCTCGGTTCGCCTTTCGTCGCCCTCTGGCCGGCTCGTCCTACTGGCGCCGCGGGCCTGGCTTGCCCTTCCCAGCTGCTGCGCAGGGTCCCCCTGCACAAACGGACCTCTGCGTCGCCGCACCTCTGCCCGCGGACGTTGAGCTCGCACGCTCGTTTTACTGCGCACAACAGCCGTTCCAGCCCAGTTCCCCCGGCCCGCGGCACTCGGTCACCCTGCCCTGCCCGACCGCGACGCCTGAACCTGGGGACCCGCGTGGCCACAAGTCCGGGAGCTGGGCGCGCACATTCGGGTTTTTGTGTTTCTTTTTTGGGGCATCCCTTTAATTTTTGCAAATATCGTATAGTAAAATTGACTTCTTTATTGTGTTAACATATACGTAACATAAAAGATACCATTTTAGCCCTGGCCGGGGGTGTTCAGTGGATCGATGGCCAGCCTGCGAACCAAACGGTCGCCGGTTTGATCCCCAGTCAGGGCACACGCCTGGGTTGCGGGCCAGGTCCCCAGGAGGGGGCACGGGAG